TTGCAGCTGAATATGAAATATCCATTTACAGCCAATTACATACAAGTCCTGTTGTGTTTTGGAAGATACATATATGCACTAGGAATGCTAAAAGCCAAAATCCCCACAACTCTAGATGAAACAGGGAAACACTTAAAACTTTCGAGATATGATATTTTATATTTCTTAGGCAGAAGTGCAGTGAGCATTGTAACTTAACAGCAGGCATCCTTTGCGAGTATGTGCAGCACAAAGGTAACCCTGGGCTTTACATATTCTAGAAGAACTGCTACAATCCAAAAATTGCCATTCTACAAACAACACAATGTCTTACAATTATTCCATTTCAGGAGTTTCTTCTATGGATGAAGAATAGTAATAATAAGAGAATTAAGCCAGGCAAAACCTGGCTCTTCCAGTGTCCAAAGTCCATAACAGAACCTCTTCTGCCTCCAGTGATGAAAGAAAAATCTAAAAATCTGCATGAAAGCTAGTGAGGACAAAGACAAATTCACTTAAATCTTAACGTCAGAGGTACTTGTGCTTAAACTGTAGGAGTAGCTTTCAGTTTAACTAGTTGCAGGAAATCTTTCACAAGACTAAAATTAATACCTGTATTCAAGGCCCTTCAATGTAACTGCTTATTATGGCATGTTCCACTGAAACCCTTGTTCACAAGATGCAGTTCTCCTTGCTTTGGAAATGAAGGATTCCAGTGGAGAGTTGTTCCCATTTGAAATGTTCCTGTCTCGCAGCAGGACTGCAGGATACTTTCATAATCCAGACTCCAGATGACAACAATTGTTTATGGTCACGTTCTCAAAGAAGGAATACTGAACTAACAGAGAAAGATGACATTCTCTTTATGTGTGCATATGTGTTCATATGTAACCCTAATTAATATGTTAATTGGCAGCTGCAGAGAAGGATTAGTAGGATGCTTAAACACCAGCTTTATTTACCTTCCTCCTAAATTTGCAGTTATAAGACAGAGTGGTGTGAAAAAATTTCAGCAGAACTCATCTTGCTATTGCTCCTCAAAAAGTATTTATCTTCCATGTAGTCCATCTGGATTTACAACAATTTACCTCTGGTCATAAGCCTTCCTTTCTGCTTTTGTATGGAAGTTTTCAGGGTCTTTTAGCCTTTAAGAGCTGAGTGAAAAACAAAGTTTTCTGTCTGAAAGTCTAATAGTCTCCTCTGATCAGAAGACTACAGTGGGGCAGTAAATTTGCTTCTGAATTATCCTCCTGCCTAGAAGAAGGCAAAGTGATGCTCAGGGAGAAATTACTCTCAGCTAAGTGAAATTTAAATACCATTCGATCCCATTTGAAAATATTCAAAAGCTGACGTAATGGAAAGCCAAAGTGTTGGTGGAAGATATAAAGTCTACTAGTGTGCAGTAATACCAGAAGTCTGTCCCCCTATCTTCCCACATTTTTGTTCCACTAAATTATAAAAACCGCCACTGACCTGCTTGAGAAATGAAGTGTCCACCAGATGTTTCCTGAGCGAAGACAACTTGTGTTTCCCTTTACACATCATCTTCTGAGAGGCAGCACTGCAGTGACTGCGTAGCTGACATTCACTGTGTTGACTTTGGGTTACTCGGATCTTTACCTTCCAACTCAAATACAGTGGTTTTACAGAGAGGTCACATGGAAAGAATGGATTTGAATGACTAGAACACAATGTGGAAGAAAGGTTTATATTTAAACTGATTCTGTGATTTACTTTGTTACATCACTCCTTATGGAAACAGGGTGACCAGTCATCCCCAAAAAGAACCGCTTCCTTATGTGAATAACAACGTGCAAAAATGTTTTTCCAAGAGCTGGTAATTTTAATACAAAAGTTCTGTATGAGAACAGACCCAAAGCTCATTACGATTTATGGAAAGTCTGGTTATTACACTTTGGATCAGATGCCTGTTTTTTGCCAGAAGCAGTCCTGTTTGGCTACAAGGAAAAGTTCATCAGCCCTTATTAATCTGTAGAGCGTGATACCTACCAATCTGTTCATGGGAGTGGCATACAGAAGACAGGAGAGTCCATCATCATCTAACAGGAATGCTTCATTCTTTTTATACAAACAACCCTATGTTTACAACAGATCACTCTCAAAGAACAAACTTTGAGCTCCATTTTCAGGCAAGCCGGTGGAAACACAAAGTGAACTTTCAGGAGCTACATGAACAGAGAGCATGGGAAGGTTTTTTAACCCTGTGCACCAGAACTCATAATGCATAATAACTTACAACTTTCACAGCAGGTATATGTCTGTTCAAGCTATTCAGAAAAGTTCATATGATATATGTACAATTTATACAAGATCAATATTTAATCAGTTGTGAACAAAGCTCTAAAATGCTTTATCAACGTCCTTTCATCCAAAGACTGAAAAATATCAACACTTTCTTTCTGGTCATAATCTCCCCTTTAGACAAGAAGCCACATCATACAAAGCTGGAACAGCTTTTTCTTCCCTAGTAATACAAGATAGGTGCAGTAACGCAAACTTAAACTGAAGTGTCACAGTATATTTATGTCACTATGAAAGCCCATGGGGACTTAAATTTAACAGATCTGATGTTGCATTCATCTCACATCATTGGTTATTTGCTTGTGAATAGAGGAAAAGCTGTTTTCAGTAGCTACTGTTTAATCAAATACGTTTTAATTTGGAAAGTCGTGTACAGCACAAGAAACTGCTTGTGCGATGGTTTTAATAAGGATACGTGAGCAAAGGCCGTGTATTCTGTACTCTCAGTGTGAGGTCTGCAGGAAATCAAGTTTTCAGCAAGATTGACAATGGAGCCATTCAGCCTCCTGAATGCTCGGTCTGACCATTTCAGCCCACTGCAGACAAATATATATTATGTTTTGATGACAACTAACTGTAATGACAAAGATGCAATCATGAATTTATGAATATAAAATGCCTTCACTCTCCTGCCTTTCATTAAAGACTAAACAAAATCACAGATTGGTCAGAGAAAAAGGATGAAAAAAAAATTACCTCATCTGCACATGATTCATCTCCGTGCTCATACTCAGCTGACTAAGTACACATTTCTTGTAAACCTTGAAACTCTAAATTTTGAGGCATATTTACAATTACAGCTGGGTTGTGTACTACTGTGGCACAGAGGTCAGTTTTGTTCAGAAGGAATTGGAAATCAATTACTTTGCATCATTGTTCCAGGAAGATTGATGCTCAGCTAGTGCCCTTTTTAAGTTCTATTATATCGAGTCTAGAATAGTTTTGCTTTTCTATCTTCTTTTTGAACAATCTACCTAGTCCTGCCTTTGCTGCTTTGCTTCAGGACATCACTTGTGTCCACATCCTGTTGTTCAAAATGGGATTCTTGTGACTGCTTATTCCATTGGAATTCCTACATTTAGCATGCTGCTAAAATGCTTCCTGAATTCTCAGCACTGCCAAAAAAAAAAAAGAAATTTGAGAATTTATATGCTCAGGTAAAACACCACTGTATTCTTGGTATGATGGAGATAAATAATTGCCAGTACACATAAGGAAAAATTTGGCTCCAGTTCCAGTAAGTGCATGTGTACAAAAACTATGGGAAGTTAAAGAGAATTATGCTTCAGAACTATTCTCTCTTGAGCTCTGTTCTTTATCTGCTGGGGGAAAAAAAAAGTGACAGCTAAATTTAAACTGGAATGAAGGTTGTCGAGCACTGTAACGTTCAATTCAGTAATGGTCTCCAAGTCAACGACTCTTGAAAAATGCTGGTGACAAACTCTTCAGAACACAGAATCCTACTTCGTTCTCCTGAATCCAAGTTCTTCTTTCAAAAACCTTTAAAAATAAAGCAGCTGATGATATCAGCCTGTCATTTGTGACCTGCCCAGCATGGCCACTCTTAAGCATCAGAGACAGAACATGAGCACTGCATGGACAGAATAATGATTTATTGGAAACAAGTATTTACACAGAGTATAAAGGCAGTCACTTCAACCATTTCTTCTTTAACAAGACAAAGCTACCCCATTACAAGATTTGTTCAGTAACAGGATTAGATTTAGCAATGATGCAGAATATTTTAAATCCCTGAGATTGAGGCCCTCTCACCTTTTATGCACTCCATATCCCATTCCCCTCCCCACCCTCTGCAAAACAGTGCTGGAAAATTTAATTTCCTGCTCAGTCGTGCTTTTAGTAGATTATCATCTAAAATTACAGTGTCATTCTTTACATCAGCATGAAATTTAAAAATGCAAGCAAGCCCAAGTCTCACATCAAGTTCATTCACATTCAGTTGCACGCATCCAGTTTAAAATTACTTGCAATTTAAAGTTGGTCTCCAAGCTGCTTTACACAAAAGGCTACTGACTCTGAATATACCAACTTGTTCCTCTTAAATGAGACTCGGAAGCCAACTCCTCCCTTTTCTTCTAGCTGCATTCAGCTAATGGTTTTACCATTTTTAATAAATACAATTTTTAATAGTGTTGTGAATGCAAGGATTTAGGCACAAGTCCTTTTATATATGGACTTAAAGCCATCACAAGGAGGCTTAGTAACAGAGTTCCAGTTCCTACTGCAGACTTCCAGTAATTTACCTATATGCCCTCAGCATTTTTAAGTTTATAGCAGGTACACAGTTCAAGAATGACAAACCTGGCTAGCAAAGGTCTTTCCTCCAAAGAAATGCAAGTTTCATCATTCAATTTCAGTAGAAAGTCACCCTGCAAGGCCACAAAGGCAGATCCAGGCATAACACATGTAGAGAATTTTCGGTTCAAGTTCAGGCATTTTACCTTGCAAGATCATTGTCTCTTGTCCGAGGATGTAATATTTCAATCAATAATTCAGTCTAGCTGACACATGACAATCAGCATAAGCAAAGCCTGGGGGACAAGACTAAACTTCAGTACTTTCAAAAGGATGCAGCTGATGTTGGTGTGACCTCCTCAGTGGCTAGCTCTTCACTTGAAGATGGAAATAAAGATTAATAAAATTCAAGGCATAAAACAACTAAATTAAATTCTTTCTAATTTAGAGGTAGATTTGATCCAGTGTAATATATAATAGCCACTCCTGCAAGTGCTTTAGGAATTGAACAATTCAGATCAACTTTGACCTAAGTGCTCCTAGAATAATTATGGCAAGCTTTTTTCATATCCTTCAGGAAAGCAGGTACACCACTCTGTAAAGAGAAAAGTGGAAAAGTCATTCCTGCATAATGTAAAGAAAAAAGTATAAGCAAGATGAGAGTTCCTGCCATACAGATCAAGGCCTTCAAACAAATGCAGGCCAATTCTAAGATCATGTGCAATGCAGCAGACCATTCCTGTAATCTTTCATGAACAGACTGCGTTATTGAAGTTTGCTTGTGTTAAGGCTATTCACTTATGCTCTGAAACACGGAGTTGTTGTTTTTGTTGTACAAATTTGAGAATAATAATTTAAAATAAATTTAAGACAACTGCCATGAGAGCAGACAATAGTGAGACTCTACAAATGGTACTGCATAAGAGCTAGAAAGGTCAACACACCTGTTTCACAAAAAAGTAATTCTACCCAACATGCAGAGGACAGGTATGGATGCAGTGAATACATTGTCTGAAACAGGTGAGCCAAAGACAACTGTGTTGTCAACCTTTACTTACCTTGGCAGCCCAGTTGACCAGCCATGATGGAATCATGCCACCAGGATTATCAAAATAGTACATATAGACTAGGGATGAGAGAGAAGTTACCAGAAAGTTAACCAGTCATCGTTGGAGTGGCAGCTCTAACACCATATGACAGAAGCTGTCAGTGTGCGTGACAATCACCAAGCACAACAGTTCTGCTCTAAATGCTTCACAAAAAAGCCAAATGTGAAGTAAGTATAGCCATTTCCAGTGAACCTCTGGGAAGATGAGTGCGTCATCATATTAATTTAGACTACTGCAAACCATTTTAGGCAGCCTATCTTATAAAATAAGGTTGTCTTTAAGGGACTAATCTCAGACAGAAGTCAATCTCTAGGCAAACCCTTTAATCTGTAAATCTGTAGGACATGATACATCATTGCTAAGCTAACCAGACTGCAGCGTGCATCAGACTCTACTCAAATGAACTGGCTGGCAGGAAAAGGAGGGTGGGCTGGGAGGGGTCGGTGAGTGGGATGGGGGACGCAGAATGACGTGGTCAGTGGTCTATTCTTAACTACCCAGACCAAAGGTTAAGTAACAGATTCTTAACAGTAGCACACTGCACTGGATGTTTCCAAAAGTTTCATTAATTTTAAATTATTCCTAGTGTTCAGGACACCCACTTTATACTGACTGTTTAGCTTAACATTTCCAGTCTCCCTCTCTGTATTTTGCCAATACATACGTTCTTTGGCTACGCGACTTGCGGTCACACTTTCTTGGCCTCTTACCTTTAGATCCAGTCTCGCCATCACTTTCAATTGCCAGACTTTGTTTATAGCTTTTAACTCTGATAATGCCAGGCTTTTCAGGGCACTGAGGAACAGACACACTTTGAGCTAACACAACCCAGATCTTCCGCCCATCGACATCCATCTCTCGACATTCACGAATATAGACATACTGTATTCCAAGTTGAGGAGGCATGTCAAAACAGTGTCAGTTTGACACATGATGAATTGACAAGTGAATTCCATTATAAATACCAGCCCCTTCATGTTATTTCTCATGCTTCCAAAGGGCTCAGTCCTGCAGAGTAATAATTCAGCTATGTGAGCTTTAGCTGTGTATGGGAAGACGTATTCACTTTTCTTCATGCTGTACATTATTTGTGGAACATGAGGGCTGCAAGATCTTAGAACAAGTGCAGCAAAGCAGAAGGATCAGCACATTGTTGGGATCCCTGTGTCACCAGGTGACAAAAACTGCATGAGGAACAAAAAGCTTGAAAGGATACATCTCTGTTTGAGAGAGGAAAAGGGTACTTCACTTCCCAGTAGATTACTTTCTCACCATCATATGTTTTCTCATACAGTTCTACAGTTGAAAAAGGAAGATTGTTAGATATTTTTAATTTCTACTGCAACAGAACCATACGTGCTATCAAGAACTGCTCAGATTTCTGACATGAACACATTTTACAAGCAACCCTTATGTCAAGATTGATATGTATGCAAAGTCGTAACAATAGAAGACATAAAAAGAGTCCTGCAGCAGGGTTGTTCAGGAACCAAACACATAAAAATAGGTGGCTGATTTTTTGATGCTATTGAATTAATTGATTTTCAAAAAACCCACACAAAACAAAACCAACAACAAAAACACCCACACACAAAAAAAACAACTCACAAACCAAAAAAAACCCACCAAAACACAAAACCAGAACAATTCTGAGGAGAGATAGAGTCAAATTCCTTTTCAGACAGTTAACTTATTCAAAGCCTTTCCATCTCAAAGCTTTTTCTTTGCCTATGCATATTCTGTATAATTCTGAGCCACAAGCATTCTTTTTTGCAAGCATTTCATTATCCTTGTAAATTACTCTAAGTTAACATGGAACTAGGATGAGTACTGCTTTCTAATACCTGCAGAGGTCTTACACAAGGGATTAATGAAGTTTGGAAAAGCTATTAGGAATTTCACAGCAGTATATATAGGCAACAGCAAAGAAGCTTGAGCAGTTTATGAGCCTTCATTACACCACCTTCAGTCTGTCTGCAAACTCAATCAGAAAGGAGCTGAGTAGGAATAGGTCCTGAAGCACGGCAGTGACTCAGGTAGTAGTGCGGTATAAAGGAGAAAAACTAGTTCAAATAAAACTACATAACTGAGTTTGAAAAACTGTCTGCTTTACAGCTTCTGCCATTATCAGGGTAATGGATCTGACAGGCCATGGAGCTGAGCTAGGGTAAATTCCTGTCTGCTCAGGGATGGGGCATTACACTGGTGCAGTTAAAAAGGGTACAGTTCAGAAGGCGGTTCACATTAACAGTCAGCGTGGTCTTTTCCTCCTTTAGAGCACACTTGTGCCTAGGTGCTACATATCAGAGCTAATGCACACAGCCTGCCATATCACTTTCAGTGGTTTTGAAAATAAGGCTAGAATAGACTGATAATCTTGTTGCTAAAGCAAGAAGAGTGCCAGAGATGGGAGGTTCTTTCCATATATGACCTGTTCCAAACCAGGCTTCTGTTCCTATGTCCTGCAACTCGGCTGTCACCCATGGAAACAGCTTCTCCAGGTTGGAGCAGCATTGGATGCACCATACTCCCAGCGCTGTAACATGCTACAGCATTATGCTATCCACCAGAGGTCACTGGAGCATTGCTTGATGAGCTTTACTTTCATTTCTAACTGTAGAGCTTTCCATTTTCAAAGGGATTACGACACTGTTTTAAAGACCTCAATGCAATCGTTAGCTACTAACGCATCTATCTTTGTATCTTTGCAAACACAGAAAAAACCCACACAATAGGTAAGTCACATACCCACTGTATTCACTTTAGTCTGTCAATACTAGTGGACAGCTTCTGAGCAAAGCAGAATGCAGTGCATTTTAATCAATAATCAGATTTCACTTAGCATTACTACAACAGATCACAAGTCCGTTTTATTCATAATAGGCACAGCTGCTTTTGCTGCTTTAGCAGTTGATTATTACAACTAATTGATGGGAAGCGTGATCTCAGGCAGGATGGTGTTGCAGTCAGGCATAGCAAGTTTCAATATTGCTCAGGCCCAACCATTTTGTACCATGCCGCAGAAGCACACGGTACCTCAGTCACACAGCTTCCCTGCTGAATTGGCAGCTGCAGCACTGACCAGGATGTCCACACCTTGTAGATATCCAGGAGCGTGCTTTGGAAATAGCGAGGGTGCTAACAGCAGTGCAACAGCAGCAGACTGATACCAGAATTTCTGAGGCCTCAGGCAAACCCTTGGCAAGAACAGATCAAAGCACAACCCTCCAACGTACTAACAGGAATCCTGTCCATATCTGCCTCCAGTCTGCTGAACAGAACTAGAGGATAGAGATTACCTCCTCTTATGCTTAGCACAGGAGCAGTTCCTTTTCAACTAAAAGGCAGCTACTTCTGCTCTGGTCACGTTTCTGTTTCAGTGCCAGCCAGCAGAGAACTCTTCTTTGGACTGCTGTTATTGCTCAGCAGTGAGAGCCACACGGAACACAGACAGTAAAACAAAGAGCAAGGCGGCTCTGAATGGAAGATTTCTGGGTTTTGTCCCTAAATATGAAAGGGGGAAAACACAGAGTTATATTGTTCACATTGAAAATGTATCATATTTACATTTTCATCATATTTACAGTTCTAAAGAATGGGGAGGTTGTGTCAATTTTTAAGCTGAAAGTGTTAACGTTATGCTTATGCTCTTCAAGAGTTAACTTCTGTGAAATGCTGGACTTGAAGTACCAGGGCAAGTATAAATTCACAAATGAACATATCATTGTCAGCAAGGATATAAACACCAGCTCTGCAATATTATCTAGTTTTTAGTTTAAGGGTGTAGCTTCCCCCAACCGCTTCCTTTATTTTCTCTAAGAAGGCATTATTAAAAAAAAAAAAGGTGTTTGTTTAAGGATTCAGTTCTCCTAAATGCACTTAAATCAAAGACTACTGAAGTAACTCAAGATAACATGGTATTTTTACATCCAGTATGATTATGTTGAGTCCCACTCCAGTTCTTTTTGTTTCATTAATGGCAAAGTGGCCTTTGCTACAAGAAAGCTATTGCCCATTTTGATAAACAACACTTACTAATGAAGACACAGCTTCTTAAACTTGACCAAGTACTGACATGAGTCAAATATGTGGTTCTCTGTATCAATACAGCCAAAGGCATTACCAATAACAGTTCACCATAAAGCTGTCCTAGACTTAACAAACACAAAATTTAGCAGTTCCTTGGTTTTTAACACTGTTCATCGTTCAACACTTTGACCATATTTCAGTTTTATTGGCCTGAACTGATACTAAGCACAGGCTTAAATCAGAAGGGGTCCTCATCTTTAAAATAAATGGACTGCTGGATGCCTACATCAGCTGAATCGTTTCCTTGTTACTGCTGACTTAGGGTATTTTAACATCAAATGGATATCCAGATTCAACTCCCTTTTTCAGGGCAACATTAAATAAACACAACCAAATTCATTATTCCTTCTCTGTAAAAGCCTTAAGTCACCAACTGCTCTCTTCATACGCCCATTTCTGATTGTAAAAGGTGCCAAGAACAACCAATGCTTTCAGCAAAAGCCATTCCATCACGCCTCAAAGTGGTGCAAGCCATTGCACTCTTCCAGGCTCTGCTCCAATATGGAAAGATGCACAAAAAACACCATCTCCATTTCTCCCCAGAACATCTACTAAAATTTAACCTAGGAATTAGAAAAACTAGAAGCTGCAATGCTTCAGCATAATAAGTGATGTCAATTATATGCTTTAACCAACATGGAAAGAATTCGTTCCAGAAGGAAGCTAAATGGTGATGAGGTGTTAGCTGCTCCATGTCAGTGTTTACTTGTATATCTGCAGAGTGCAACCTTATCCCAAAAGATACTTAAGTCTGCCCCCAGAGTCTTTGGATGCAGCAACTTCAAAATACCTTTGAAGGAAGTTTTTGTGGGAAGCATCAATGTGGATAAAAAGGTTGCTTTTAAACCGCCTAGATGAGCTTACCTTTAACATACTGATCCCATTTTTTTCTGAAATCTAAGTCCATATAGACCTCTGCACACAGTTTTGGAGGACAGTCAGCAAGACCACCGAAGATTTTATACTCATAAAGTCCTGATTGCTGTGGAAACAAAATGGGGAGAGGAAAAGTCACACAGGAAAGGGAAGTACTCTGCAGCAGGGAGAACAGCTGAAGGAAGTTAGGTGGGGCACATACTACAAATATGCTCAAGAGCTGTGAAAGCAAGTGTTCAAAAAACAATGCAAGACTCAGTCTTTAACCTCTCGACTTTTTGATCTATACATGAAAGTTTAAATCCAGACAGGCTGACCTGCCCAACACAATGGTTGTTCCTTCCCTTACACCAGTACCCTTTTACTTCATGAGCAGTTCCAGAGGGAGCGTGCTTCTTCACACAAACATGCCCCTTGTCATCTCTAGTGGTCAGTGTGGACTAAATCCTGCCCACACCAAAGCTTACCAGAAGCATTAAATCCTTGTGGCGAGGTCTCCAGACCCTACATAATGTGCTTAAGAATCTCAGCCGTTTCCAGGAGGTTACCAAGTAATGCAAGATCTGGAATAAGCTTTCCAGCAAGTTAAGTATGCTTCTACTTCAGGCTGTGACACAAGAATGCTCCATAATGCTTATATTCATGCTTTATTCATGCTTATATGCTATACACTATTATATCTGGCTTGAATATTTATCGGCTCTTTTCTATCTGAAAGCTGTCTGTACTGAAGGGGTGGGGTGCAGGATATCTCCTATGTTAATGCTTTTGATGTTTCTCTCAGCATATGGAAACTCCATCTGTGCCTATAGAGCAATGCTTGTACTATTGTTAGTACTAGTTCAGGATTAAATTAAAACAATGTGAGTATTTTGAATACACAGTGTAGCAGTCAAATTCAAGCATTTCCAAGGAAAGGGAGGGAAGGATTATACAACATTTTGTTAGTGAATGGTTGATTCTTCTTCTCCTCCTCCCCTTCACAAATCAACCCTGGAAGATGAAGATTTGATGTACCAGAAGATAATAATACTTAATCTGTTTGACAGAAGAAAGCCATGCAGCGACTTTCTCGTTTAAACTATCAGAGCTTGCCTCAAGGATTTTGCACAGAATTGAGTGTTTTGTACCTTAGTGAGGACAGATTACAGTTTCACATTGCCAAACAGTCAAAGCTTTAGGACCACAAACTATTACATTGTATTGCTTTTATGTTCCACCCAACAGGCAGCTGGAAGTACCCGTAATACCTTTAAATTGAGCATTAACAAAAGGTATGCATACAATACAGGTCTTTAAAGCATTTTTTGCTATAGATAGAACCTCCATCAGAGATTAAAATAGAGCTGCAGAGATGTCATTTACTGTCACATAATTCAGAAGCCACTAAATTAAATTCAGAGTGCAAGTACTACACTACCTAATCCGCTGACTTAACTGACGGGTTTCTACCTTACACTCAAAGGCAGGCTCCCAACTAGTTCACAATTTCAGCTCAGTCATTCTTGCATCTGTAACCTTCAAACTCTCACACTGTCGCTCAAGACAGATCAAGAAATTACACTGTTGTTCTCGACCAGTCTCTTTGTTCCACTGCTAGACAGATCATGACATACATCACTAAATAACTTCTACTAAGAAAGGTGGTATTTTGATAACAGTATGAAATAACAAATCATGATCTGAAAAGTGAACGGTAGATCTTGCAGGAAGTAAGATGGACAAAAACATTCAATAAAAACAGCAATTTACAGTAAGAAAGTTAAACCAAGAGTGAAGTGTTTCAGGTTTTCAGAGGTCTATCAGCAGGAGAGTCCATCAGCGGGTTGGAATACAGCACGGAGCAGGAAAGCCCAGGAGATCTATTTGGGCAGCCTGCAGAGAAGGTGGAAAGAGAAGGCAACAGGAAATATAATTGCTGCCTTCAGCTTCCTGGACTACCACTGCTGTAATGAAGTTGCAGTTCAGTAAGTGTTAAATACCAATTTTTCCAGTAACAACTTTAAGCAAAGACCCTCTTCCTAGAACTTGGTTCTTCCTTCTCCTGTTGCAATTTGAAGCAACTGAAAGACAAGACAAAAAAGCTACTTATTTCCCAGCAGAATCAGAAGACTGGACTTGAAAAGGTCCCCTGCATCCTACCTAGGCCACCCATCTACCCTAAATTAAGGTCATTTGTACAACCTGCAAAAAAACCTCAGTTTATTCAAGCTTCAATTTATAAAAGAGCAGCAAAGCCACAGCAGCACAGGCTGCCCCAGTCCAAGTCTCACAGTTGCCTTCTCCCATTTATTTGGCTAAATCCAGCCTCCAACTTCCCAAAGGTACTTTGCCTTTGGTCACTGTGTGATGCATTGTCAGGTCGGTGATGAGCTCCAGTCCTAAGGTTTCTATTTCATCCACTCCAGAAGCAGCACTCCCAGAAGCCTCTATTGCATCTGCACAGCTAATTCCTGCACAGATACCTGGCATAGGCTCGCCGTTGCTGTGCGCTCACCGATAAGCTTGTCTTGCCATTGCCAGTTATGTCTGTGCTGTAATTAAGCACTATTTAGCACCACAAAACTCCAAGGTATATTAAATTACTTTTTTCTTTTTAATATTACTTTCCCTCCCCTGTCTTTCCTTTCACACAGAGCTATGTGTTTGCTTTATTTGCTATTTTTTGTAACGTGACCATGATCTTTCAAAATACAAATCCAAAATTTGTATTGTACTTCATGCAAACCATAGCATGAAGTACAGCTTTGTAAGTAGCTGAGAGGTAACTATGATCACAGATCTGAAGAATTAGGATATTTATATGGATTCAGAAGTCATTAGTACATCATAAATCTACATCAGAATCGCAACACTCACTATGTTAATCACTTACAAGTCAGTTCTGGAAGCCTAAACTTTTGAACTTCTTAAAAGAAGTACGTCCTTCCCACAATGGGGGGAATTTCATTCCAACACTTTCTGAACTCCTTTTAGAAGGAGAAAGTGGGAGATCGGTTTAAAGAGAGTTTTGAAAAGAGGGAGAAGGAAGGGAGGCGGGATCCTGCAGATCAGGAGGATGCTCTAACACGGGAAGTGCTCAGAGGCCGGTGCACAGGGACAGGTCGCCACCCCCCCTCCCCCCCACAGAGGGGCTTGGGAGAGAGGTGGGACACGGAGCAAACACCCAGGGAGACCCACGACTGCTCCTGTCGCCGACAGCGCCTTCCACCAGGAATTTCTCCAGCTGTTAACAGGCTTTGAGAGCCTCACAGTGTGCAGGTTCCCCCAGCAGTTTGTA